ATATATATATATATATATATATATATATATATATATATATATACACATACATTTTTTTACTATAGAAGGAATAAAGTAATTTGCTTAAGTTAAAAATTGAGGCACTAAAGATGAATTAGGAATATTAAGAATAAGAAGATGAAAAAATGTATATGGAGAGGTTTTTTAAGTTGTAAGTCTCATCTTCAATAAAACACAAAACTTGTACAGATCTGTACTTTAACTATAATCAGAAATTTTCCACGAGGTTCTTTCTGTCTGCAGCTGCTGACTGAGGGGTTCAGTTCTTCAGAGGATGTAAAATAATAATTTCTCATTAGGAAATCAAAACAAGTTTAACTGCCAACAATTTTCTCCCTTTGATTCAAATGTTTAAAAAAGACATCCTTGCTTAATCATGTTGAGCAGATTTTATTATTATTTGACTGAAAGCTTTTTCTCCCTGTATGTGTTTATGCACTCAAATTAAAGAACCACCTCTCTAATTGAAAGTTAGTGGGTTTCTTTATATACAGACCCTTTCCAAAATATTAGAATATCATGGAAAAGTTGTTTAACTCTCATAATTCCTTTCAAAAAGTTAATCTTTAATAGATGATAGATTCAGGGCCCACAATTTAAACAATTTCAAGTATTTATTTGTTTATTTTTACATAATTTGGGCTTCCAGCTCATAAAACCCACGAAAACAGGATTTCAAAAAATTAGAATACTGTGAAGACATCAGCCCACACTTCTGTTTTTACAGGAAAAAGAAATAAATTAGGATCACAACAAATCAATCAAAACATTGTACTTTCAAAACAAAATGTCATTCTTCAATACTTGGTTGGGAATCCCTTTACTTTAATCACTGCCTTGATGCGATGTGGCATTGAGGCAATCAGCCTGTGGATTGACTGGGAGTTATGGAAGCCCAGATTTCCTTGATGCTGTCAGCTCTTTGTTGTTGGGTCTGGTGCCCCTCATGTTCCTCTTGAGAAGACCTCATAGATTCTCAATGGGTTTAGGTCTGGCGAGTTGTCTGCTCAGTCAAGCACTGTGGCATGGGCATCAAACCAGGTTTTGGTGCTTCTGGCAGCATGGGCAGGGGCCAGGTCCTGCTGGAAGATGAAATCTGCATCTCCATACAGATCATCAGCAGAAGGAATCATGAAGTCCTCTAAAACATTCTGGTAGACTGTTGCAGTGACTTTGGATTTAAGAAAGCAGAGTTTACCAACACCTACACTGGACATTGCACACCAAATCATGACTGACTGTGGATATTTCACACCGGACCTCAAGCAGTATGGGCTCTGTTCCTCATCCTTCTTCCTCCAAACCCTTGGACCTTGATTTCCCAATGAAAGGCACACTTTACTTTCATCAGAAAAGAGGACCGAGGAACCCAACAGTTGTAGCACATCTCCCGTATGTGTCTGAATGTGGTGGTTTTTGAAGCTGTGACTCCCGCCTCATTCCACTCTTTCTGGATCTCTGCCAGATTCTGGAATCTTTTCTGTTTGGTAATCAGCCCACTGTCATCTATTTTGCTGGTGCATCTTCTCCTGCCACATTTTGCCCTTCCACTAGACTTTCCATTGATATACTTGGACACAGCACTCTGTGAACAGCCAGCCTCCTTAGCTATGAACTTTTGTGGCTTACCCATCCTATGGAGGGTATCAATGATGGTCTTCTGGCCAGTTGTTATGTCTGCAGTCTTCCACATATTGAACTGAGACAACTGAACCAAACTGAGACAATTTAATGACACCTGGGGAAACTTGTGCGGGTGCTTTGAGTTTAGTAGATGATTAGTGTCACACTCAGTTTAAAACATTCATGTCCTGCAAAATTTGGGCTGATTTCTTCACAGTATTCAAATTTTTTGAAATCCTGTTTTTGTGGGTTTTATGAGCTGGAAGCCCAAATTATGTAAAAATAAACGAACAAGTACTTGATATAGTTTAAATTGTGGGCCCTGAATTTATTATCTATTAAATATTACCTTTTTGAATGGAATTATGGAAGTTGAACAACTTTTCCATGATATTCTAATTTTTTGGAAAGGGTCTGTATTTCACGTTTGTTTATTTTGGCTAACAACTCTGTTTTGCATTTATTTGTTCCTCAGTGTAGGGTTGCAGTTACTATAGAGGTATAGGGAGAAGAAAACAATCCCAAGTTATTTTTAAACATCTTTTCCTTTTGCAGCAGTTTAATTGTTCGCACAGAAAATTATAAGTGATGCCAAGATAAATTTTGATTTGTCATAGTTTTCTTTTGTTTTTCCTTCCCAAGAATTTTCAAAACATTTTAGTTCAATGTGAAATTCTCATTAAAATCATCGAACCCTTTCATCATTTCACATGAATCAATAGTTAACATTTTGAATTTAAAACTAATTTGAAACAATGGCTAACATGGTAACACAGTGATCTTTGTTTTTTGGTAGTCAAAGCTGAACACATCTGGTCCAGCTGTGAAGTTGTTTTTATCCCTTCTCTTTTTTCTTCTGTGCCCTAGGAATCATCGACCTCTCTCAGGTACCCCATTTACCTGTCCTGGTCCCTCCCACTGCAGGGACAGCTGGCTCCCCCATGGATCGCATCACGTACATCCCAGGAACAAGTGCCGCGTTCCCAGGCAGGCCCTACACCACCTCACCCATCTCCCCCGGTAGACTTCGTTTATACAAACATCTCGCAAATCTAGTTAGTGTTGCATTTTTATGTTTTTTTTATTGTGAGGGATATTATTTTTTCCTATTCAGTTGGATCCTCACACATAAACAAAATGCAGAGTGCGTCTTCAGAGCGTGAGCGGGAAAGAGAACGGGAGCGGGACAGAGAGAGGGAGCGCGAACGGGACCAAGAACGAGACAGAGAGCGGGAAAGAGACCGAATAAGAGAGCGGGACAGAGAAAGAGACCGCGATCGGGACCGAGAGAAGGGCGGGTTTTCTGGAAATGTGGAGCACGCCCCCATCTGGCGACCAGGTGTCAGACATTTTATTCTGTTTGCATGTAAAAAGTGTTAACATACATGTACTTTGAAGAAATACTGCCTCGTTTGTAGAATTACTGAGTGTGTGGTTTTCAGGTACAGAACACAGCTTGACTAGCAGCAGTAGTGGACGATCTGCGTCTCAACCATACAGCCACCAGCACTCCCCGGTGTCCCCTCGCACCCAGGACAACTTGCAGCAGAGACCAAGTGTCCTGCACAACACCGGTACCAAAAGTCTTTCAGTCAGCGAGCACTCGTCTGTCTTACGGTAATTTAAATTTGAGTTCTGTTTTTACACAAGCTGTGCTGCCTTGTTTGTTTAAACTCATTCATTTGTCATCCTTTTTTTTTTATTTTTACATGTGTGGTGCTTGCCCCGTCAGGCCCATGCCCTCAGGGCCATCCCGCTACCAAGCGTACCCCGGCTCTTTACAAAGGACCGGTGTGCCCCCTGAAGGATACCCACCTGCCATGGACTCAAATGTAGCCAAAGAGCCACAGAGCCGCGATGGAGGCAAATCCAGGGGAGGTCTACCCAAGCACATGCAGGGCCAGCACGGGTCCTCCAGTAAATCTGACCTCAAACTGCCTAGCCCCAGCCCTGGAGAAATATACCACACTTCATATTCCCCGGCTCCAGGCCGATCCCAACACCTGCTGCCTCCCCAGCTGGATAACCCATCTGGCCGTGATGAAAGCAGCACATCTAGTAAAGAAAAGACTCAAAACAAGCAGATGTCCATGCAGGATCCAGACGATGGGTCATTTGGTAAGACCACCATGACTGCGATCAAGTTCATAAACGCACTTATTATGCAGCACATTTCTTATGAAAGGGGGATGTCAGAGACGGGTTTGCTTGTTGCCAGCAGCACCACTGATGGTAAAATGTGCTGGATCCCAGGGTCCATCTCACCCAGACCTTCCCTTGTCAGTCTGTGGTCTACTACACGCTGTGGTGATTGACACTATCAGATCAGCTCCGTTCATTTACATTTTTGTTTTAGTTCAGCGCTACAGTTTGTTGCTTTCATTCAGTCTTAATAAAAGCTTTTCTTTATAAACGTTAAAGACCACCAAGGGTGTCCTCTGGAGAATTATTCATCTAGGTGCCAAAAATGTTACCAAACTGGCTTGAATAAATGTATCTTGTGTGAGTTAACAAGCTTGAATTAAACGATTATAAAGTAAAACTCTCAAAAACGTTTTTTTTTAATTAGGCAGATCCTGCATGTCCTTTAAGATAAAGCTGGTGGGTCATTAAATAAAACATCTCTTGCTGCTTAGCTTCATTTTCTTTCATAGAAGTTGTGATTTGATCGTGCATGGCCTCATGCAGTTTGGATTGGCAAGAATATTATAGACAATGTGGTAGTTTCCTCCAAAAATCAGTGGTCTGATATTATTTGATAGTAACATTTAGTATCTGATAAAATACTCAAATAATATCAGTGCCAGCAGACGCACACCTTCTCACCCTCAGTTGAACACATTAAATAGTCTGGTCTTCTTTGACGTGTTCTTCCTCTTCATGTCACGTTGTTTCCAGCAAGTACTTCACGGTTTTAAACAGTTTACAAGTATTAACAGGACAGTAACTTGGAAGTAGGAATTTGATTTGAAACTAGTTTCACTAAACATTTTGAAAATCCTCATCAACCACCATTCTCTCCCTCGGGGGTCCTGAAGAGCACTGGTGCTGCTGGAGCCAGGGGGGGTGTGGGGTTGTCATGTTGACGAGTTTTTCAGCCTTCCGGGGGGGTCTACTGCTTCTCTGCATGGTCTTATTAAGGGCTCACTGTAATCAACGTAGATTTGTTTTGGTTTAGTTTTCTTGTTGTTAAATGTTCCCACACTGCAAGCTCTCATCTGTGTGGCCTCTGGGACTTTCTTCTCTTTGGATGATTTTTATTTTGTTTTGCTCTTGCAGAACTGTGTCCTTACATAATGCTTTAGAGTGAGTGCTGCCTGCATGCTAAGTTCAGATTAATGTTTCAAAGCCATCAGTCAACAAGAAACTTGCTTTTTAAACAAATTCAGAGCGACGTCATCGCCTTGCTGTGGAGGTGCTGATGAAATGAAATCAGTCTCATGATGTTGCAAATGAACGAAAACCAAAGCATCGTGTTCCCCATGGGAAGATTTGTCCTCTGCACTACCCTGCAAACTCAGCTTACATCATCCTCCTCTGAGATGGAAACTGCAGTCCTAGATTTGTTAAAAATAAATAAATACATGATGCAGAGCTCTTAAAATGTCCAGATTTGATTTATTTAATGGATAAACGATAAGTTCAGATCGTAGATAAAATAAATTTAACGTTAAATTAGGGTGAATTGTTTTAGGCGTTAATGACTCTTGTTTTTAAACCAAGTTTAGATTCTTGTGTCATGACACATCACTGTCTTGTAGAAAAAACTTGTAGAAGAAACTGCCCAGATGACCTGAGTGAAAAATGTTGGATCACTGTCTCGTGTTTTAAGTCTGTTCATTTTGTTCTTCTGTTACAAAAATACCTTTTTTTTACTTCGGTAAAGAGTCACTGATGCAAAACCAGTTAACTTTAGCATCATTTCTGATCAAAGTTCTGCTTGCTAGATCTAATGTTTATGCAAAGGGTTCACTAAAAATATTAAGTTAGAAGGTTGTAGCTTTTCACTCACATTAAAACGTAGTTAATATTTAGGAACATTTGTAGTTTTACATGATGTTGCTCTGACAGACAGAGACGTTGCTGAGGTTGAGTCAAACGTGTGAAAACTCTTGATTTGTCGCTTCAAACTGAGAATCAAAGCTAACTCGATTGTGTGTGTCTGTGTTGCTTGAATTTGACTCGCAGCTCTGCCACCTGGTCTTTACCGTCCCCCCTCAGAGGAAAGATTGTCTCCGGGCCAACAGCCCCCGTCCCCCTGTGTCAAAGGCAGCCAAAGGGTGGTCACTCTGGCACAGCACATCAGTGTAAGTCAGAGATAGCTGCGACAAATTAACACAGTAAACAGATGGAGAAACACACACACACACACACACACACACACACATATATAGATATATATATATATATACATATATATATATATATATATTTATATTTATATTTATATATATTTATATATATATATATTAGTGTTAAGGCTCTCTCGGTAAAAGAATAAGCCTGAAATTCTGTCAGAATAATGTTCTGTTTTTTCTGATCAGCACCTTTTTTTTGGTCCGCCAACAGGAGGTGATCACTAAAGACTACAGGCAGAGCCAGCAGCAGCAAAGCTATCATAGCTCCCCTATCCTGGACCTGACCCGTCCACCCAGTGCCTCCCAGTCTCTGCCCACTTCACAGGAGTCTGCCCAAGGGTCCCGCTATCCAGATGGTCTCAGTGGAGACTGTAACAGAGACCGGTAAGAGTCACAGATCAGTCGTCATTATGAAGGTTTTCCATTTCAAAACATCTCTGCAGAGGTGGATAAATAAACGTGTTGTTAGTACCGTAATTTCCAGACTGTTGAGCGCACCTGAATATAAGCTGTGTTCTCTAATTTAATTTTTTTAAGTACATATATAGGCCACAATTGTGTATAAGCCGCAGGTGTCCACGTTGTAATGAGATATTTTCAGCTCTGTGAGTGCCCGGGTGTGATGAGGTTAAAAGTTTTGGCAGCATGAAGCTCGTTAGCTCATCAGATAAAACACAAATCCTTAAATTAGCTGCAGCATTGTAAAAACCACGGGGTTCAATGCGTGTGAGAAAAGTAGCAGCTTATAGTCCGGAAATTACAGTAGTCAAAATTTAAAGGATAATAACACTGTACATGCAGACATGTCACCTGTTTGTACTGTTTCTAGGTCTCCGCCTCAGTCCAAGTCTTCACCTGTCAGTGTTTCAAATGACTGCATTGAACCGGTGTCTCCTCCTGGAGCCTCCTCTGAGCCTGACATCCAGGGAGGAGCCTCTTACCTCATCGAGCAAGGAGAGCACGGGTTAGTGATAATGCGATAATGTCCAAACTTGTCTGATGCTGCATAATCAAGTGATTCATCATGTAACATAAAGTGTTTATTTAAAAAATTGTTCAAATTCATGTAAATAAATATCTGTAGTGGCAGGGCTGACCTCTGATGTTTGGCGTTGCCTTTTTTCAAGTGATACTCTGTCATTGATTTTCAGTCACTGTCAGAGACTGAAACATACATTTTACTTTTCTGTGTTGCTCTGCTTTTAAAAAGCAGCCAGCAAAGCGACTGACTGCTCACTTGATTCCAGACCACTTTATTGTAACTTATGCGTGATTTATTTATGTTTTTGCTCATTCTTAAAACAAACAATAACAAAAAAAACAATAATTTATGCTACATCTTTTTTATGTACTTTAGCAACACACTCCTGTTTTGTTTCTGTTAATTTTAGTGAATTATATCAACAAATGATGGATTCAGCTGCCCCAGATGTTTTTTCCTTATAAAAACATGCATTTTAAAAACTGCTACTATCTGCATGAAGTATGGTGTTAAATATTATTGTTAAATATTTAAATAAATTTGAAAGAGGTGTCAGAAAATAAAGAGAAAGGAGTTAAGTCTTCCTGACCTCCACAGTAAGGATCAGTTTGACCACCATGTCGGTGGGAAGCCCTGATGTAACATCTCGCATGAATTTTGTCCCTTTTGCTTCACCGTACTGCAGCCACACATTTTCTGAAACGTGTTTAGGGTTTGTTGAGACAAAACTGACAACTTCTGTCCCTTCCTGCAGACTGGGCTCCCGTTCTCCTCCCAACTCCTCGCAGCATCCAGCTTTCTTCAGCAAGCTGACGGAGAGCACCTCCGCCATCGTGAAGTCTAAGAAGCAGGAGATGAGCAAGAAGATGACGGTTACAGGAAATGACAACAAATTTAGTGAGTCTGACCTCAGCGTGGAGGTGAAAAACATTTTACAAGAAAAGAAACGACACAATCTTTCATTTGATTTGTTTGCTTGTGTTTTCAGATGCTGGTCAGCCAGGAACAGAAATCTTCAACATGCCAGCATCCACAGCTGCAGGTGATCAAACCTTTCCTGAAGTGTGTTAGTAATAACTTTGTTTTAAAAGATTATAAAGCTCCTTCAAACACGAATGACTTGAACTTGTTTGAAAATGTGTCAAATATGTGGACAGCAGAGACGTGCTTGATAAATCTGCCAGCATGAGCGTTAAACATGTATTAAGTGTATTCAATACACAAAACATGCTATTTAAATGTTTGTACTGGAACACTTCACAGTGACGGTGAGCGAGCGCAGCCACCCCGCCCCAGAGGCACACGGGAACTCGATAGGCCTGGAGGCCATCATCAGAAAGGCCTTGATGGGGAAGTACGAGGATTCATCCGAGGAGCGCTCTCCATCCAGCACCACCAACCCAGCGGGTTCTGCTGCATCTTCTGATGGACGAACTGAAGACTCTTTCTCACAAGGTTTACATCTGATGCTTTTTACATCATTTGTTGGTTTTCTTGTTTTGATTCATGGCGTTAAACATCATATTTAAGTCAGCAGCTTCTATACGGGGACATCTTCCTACATGTATGAGTAAATGAGACAAACGCTCATTGTATCATGTTTTTATCTCAACAGGATGGCACGGTAGTATTAATTCTTATTAGGATATTTCTGAACTTGCTGTTATTTCAAAACACGTTTAAAACTTACATGCAGTGATTCTGTGACTCTTCTTTTTCTCTGCTACAGATTTTAAAAGCACTTCTTGAGTTTGCACCAAGTTTTGCATCAAACTTGAGTTCAGAAACAGATTAGCTGCTGCCGCATGTTGATTGTTCAGGGCCCAAACTGCCTTTTTTATTTTAGAGCGGTCTCATTTTCTGAAGGATCCCAGTAATACAGTAATATTTACTGAGTTATTTTGTAATTTAGTCTGTGATTAAAACTCTGATCGATCAACAATGTTAGTTTTTATTTTAAGTACAGTAGTCCCTCGATTATCTCAGGGGTTACGTTCCAAACACCCCCGCAATAAGTGAAAAACTGCAAAGTAGATATGTTATTATTATTTTAGTATTAATATACATTGTAAGGCTTCATAAATCCTTTCCACACTCTTGCAATGTTCTAAACTCTTAAACCTACATCATTTTAACATCATACATATATGTACTGTACAGTACTGCAACATTTTATACAGGTACTCACCAGCCTTGGTCTGGTTCTGGTCATGTTCTGAGCGGCTCTCTGCAACCGTTGAGCACCAAGATGCTTTTGGAGAGAGTCGCACCTTTGGAGGGCCCGCACAAAACCACACAATGGTCCCAATCCAGTCCAAATAATCCAGAGGGATCTGGATGGAAAAAGTCTGGGTGAGCTCTGAAGAAGACACCGGACCTCTATGCAGCACCTCCCTGCTCGAGAGGCCTCAAGGGCCGGCAAGCAGCACTCAGATTGACCAATGAGTCTGGAAGTAGCCTTGGTCCGGTTCTGATCCGGTTCTGATCAGCTCGCTGCATCCACTGAGTGCTGAAGTCTCTATGAATAAGAACCAGACTTTTTAGTCAGGTTCGGATCAGATCAAAACTTTCCCTCCATTTCTTTTCAGCAAAAAGCAGCAGTCAGAAGCACTGTTGGCTTCTGGGTAATGTAGTTCTTTTGACTGGCGTTACAGTATAGGCTTATTGAAAGAAAACTACAAAATGGCGGCACCTGTCCCAAAATTTTTTTCTTCGTTAACTTTTTATCTGTACCATCCCAATCACGTGAGTAATATTAAAGCTGACAATCATTGAAAAACCACGAAAGTCAAACCACGAAATAGCGAGGGACTACTGTATGTCGTATAAAAACTTTCTACACTTTATGGTCTTCAACCTTTACGTAGCAAGAAACAGGTGAGCCTCAGTATCTTAAAAAAAAAAAAATCAGCTGTTTATTGTTGAACTTCTTGTGTTTGCAGGTGGCTCAAAGTCCACAAAGGGCAGTGGGCGCTCCAATGGGCGTAAGGCCAAGTCCCCAGGACCAGGTCTGTCTGGCAGTGAGAGACCTTCCTCTGTGTCCTCAGTTCACTCTGAAGGAGACTGCAACAGAAGAACTCCACTGACTAACCGCGTGTGGGAGGACCGGCCTTTGTCTGCAGGTCTGTATGAGACGGGTGTGGGCCAGCGCCCTGGAAGAGGTCAAAACTCTGAGCTCATTCCAACAGTCTTATCTCTACTGTTTGCAGGTTCAACGCCAACCCCCTTTCCATGTAACCTACTGATGATACGTTTCCCAAGTGGGACGGTTTCAGCTCATTCCCCCTCCTCTGGTCACCAGGGGGGCCAAGGCCCAGGCCCAGGGCCTGGACAGGGTCGCTCCTGGGAAGAGGAGCCTAAACCTCTGCTCATGTCTCAGTACGAGACCCTGTCTGACAGCGAGTAACCCAGAAATGCCACTGCACAACCAGGACCTGCTAACGAGTCAGCTGCAGTTACACACACACTCACACACACTCACACACAGTGCTGCTGAGACGTCTGCAGACCACCCACCATGTTTCCAACCTGCGTCTCTTTCATTAGATCTTAGTCTCCTCTCATGGACCTGAGATGGTGAAGTGGAGCTCTGCTGCTCCGTGTGTCTGCTCTTACGTCATGCATTCACTCCAGGACTGCTCTGAAGGACAAATCACTCTTTTTCTTTACTATGATTCCTCACTGGCCTTATCAGTACAGACACGTTGAGCTGTACCTTTGGGATGACGGATCATTTGTTGGACCTGACAGCACAGTGAGGACCGGCACGCTTCTTCACAGTGAACTCCAGGGGCAGGAGGCCTGCCACCACTACAGTGATAAACGCACGGAGACGGGAGGAGATCCAACATCATTTTTCTTCTTTAACTTCTGTCGGTCTGGTCTCGTGTTTGTGAGCTGAGACTTTTAGTACAAATTGATGGTGAACTTTTGATGGTGTCATTTGTTGTCGGTTATCTGCAAAGATGTATCTTTTTTATTTTGTTGTTGTTTTTTTTTTTCTTAAGGGGTGGGGTTGAGGGGCAGAGATTACCTGGGGAGGTCATATCATAGGTTTACAGGGTAAACTAGAGGTTTATTGCTGATGTCATGTTACTGGGGATGGCCCGGAGAAAGGCGAAGCCCCGCTGACTTCAGGAATCTGTGTGGGGCGGGGACGATCTGCCACAGAGACAAGTGACACTTTCTCACTGTTTTTATATTAACCACGTCTGTTTGTTGAAACGGTTTTTTTGGGGGGGGGGGGATATTGAGCACTTAGTTGTCAGTCTGTTCACGGTGGAGTTAAAAACTAAAAAAAAAAAAAAAAAAATCTGTTTCCAGGAGCAGGTGAGAATGGAGTCCAACAGCACAGAACACTGGAGGGATCCTTTAACGCCTGTCTGGTGATCTCGGTTTTGCTGCTCACGTGTTTTTAGCGCCACCCTACTCGAAGCAACAATCACATGAAAGTGAATAAGAAAGCCGCTGCGGGCAGGCTGCAGACCAACCTTTAAAGCTGCTTCAAAGCAAGTTCCTCAGCAGCACTCAAAGTTCTTTTGCATTAAAGAGGTGATAAACGGCCATCTTTCCATGACTCCTTTTACATTTCTGTCAGATTCAAATAGTCTCCTAGAGTCCTGACCTTTGACCTTTTACTGCCCAGGAGCTGATTCAGCTCCTTCCCTCCTCCCGGCACATATTGTTCAGTTATGAGGTATTCTTCGTGCTAAGTGCCATTTATTTTAAATGGGTAGTGCTGAACAGTGGCACAAGTTTCCTTTACCCCCGCCAGAGTTTACACACAGAGAAATCAATAACAGAAACTTAAATAAAATATACTGTTTTGTTTTATATTTTTCTTTTTGCTTTACCCCCCAATTTCATTGCTTTTAATTTCTAACGGTTTAACTCATCATCCTCTGCGAAGTGTGACAGCTCTGCTCACTTTGGCCTCTCACCAGACGACAGTCTACTGTAAGTGTACTTCATCGCACCTTCTTTGTCTGTATGGGTTAGTTGAGAGCACGGCGTTGTGCTGGTACTGTTGCATCGCGTTAGTTGACATGTTCTCACGTTTTCATGCAGTATTTCAGAAGCCGCTTTGTGTCATTTGACGAGAGAAGTTTCCTCCCAGCGGCTGACAGAACGACAGAGAGTTGGTTTAGAAAGAGACTCGTTGGTGTTTTGCTCATTTTGTCCCAGTGGACTCCTCGCAGCACAGACATGACTGTTAAGGACTACCTCCTCTCCCTCCGTCATCCTTGGTATCGATGGTGAAGCATCCAGAATGCCTTACCTGCTGACAGCTCATCTCAGCTGTGTTTTAGCTCTTTCTGTTCGGACCACGGGAGGGTTTGTAAACAAAAACACAGCCAGGCTCTGTACGTAGATCCTCCCACTGCTGAAAGGTAAGAATGTGACACTAAACTGACGAAGCCATATCCAGCTGTTCCCTAAACAAATGTTTTTAAAAGTACATCTAAATGAATTTTTAACGTGCATCTATAATTTTTTTTTTTGTTTTAAAAAAAGTGTTTTTCATGGCTCACCTGTGTCATTTTAAATCAAGATTATTCAGACCTTAAAAGGACAAAGTTGATTGCTGGTTTGTTCCCTGGACTGTCCGGTTGTTGGAGAGAATTGACAAACAATATATTGTTCAACCATTTTGTGCATATTTTTTTTATTATAACCCACTGTATAATAGCAAGGATTGTACATACAATTGAAGAGATGTAAATATTTATGTGGCTTGCTTCGAGGTTGGTATTATGAAAAGAAAAATATTCACATGGTTAAATTCTACATGCCCACCAGCAAGCTTTGTGGATAGCAGTGTAAAAATGAAAAACAAACAAAAAAAGACACTGCCTTAATGTTTAAATAAAAAGCTTATTGCCATTTATGGTCTTGAGTCACATTATTTAGCTTTAAATCTTCACTTGTTTGGGTTGATGTGATGAAAGGTAACTTCCAGCAGGGGGCAGCACACGCTTTATTTTTGTGATGCAGTAGAACTGGGTGTCAAAACAATTAAAAAAAGGGGGCCAAAATTAAAACATTTTTCAAACTAGGTCAATTTCAGAAACTACATTAACTCAAATTAGATACCCAGCATATTTTCTTAGTCACAGGTTCCTCAACAAGAGTTTGGTCTCATTTGATGTTCTCTGTTGTGCTTTCGGCATCATAATGAGATTACTGAAAAAATTTAAGAGATAGAAGTATTTTACGTTTCACATATCATCTTGAGAGCCAGATAAGATGTCAACGAGGGCCACTTTGGCCCCCAGGCCTTGAGTTTAACACATGTAGTGTAATAAAGAAATCTAACATAAGTTTTGTTTTACAACATTGAAATGAGCCTTCAGATGGCATCAGTTAGTGAACCTCCTGTTCTTTTTTTAAGTATTTTTAACTTTTTGCATTTTTAGTAACACAACAAAATAACACTCTGCACTGGATCAGTCATACATAAACAAAAACAAATCAAACAGGCACTGTCAAGTTTTCCACATATGACATAAAGGGCTGCCACGTGTCCCAAAATCATTTTACAGAACTCTTCAGGGTATGTCTTAACAGCGATCAAAACAATAACCGAGGGATGTTGTGATTGGTGAACAGTTTTGCCACATATTCCAAAGAAAGTGTTGAATATAGATTGCCAAAAAGTCTGCAGTTTGTGACAGGTTCAAAGTGTATGCAGGGGTGTAGCTGGAGTTTGCTTGCATCGATTGCATGCGGGGTCCAGGTCGGCCTTGATCTCGGACAGCTTGTCTCTGGACCAGCCTGTGCACCACCTTGAATTAGATTACAGCGTTTCTCAGGCAGATAGAGAAGTGAATGTTCTTAAGGATCCTTCCCCAGATTGATTCTGATATGGGCTCGTCCAAGTCTGATTCCCATTTCAGTTTAAGGGGGTCCAAACAGGATTCATGGTATGAGTTGAGCAGAGTATAAACTTTGCTAAGGGTCACCTTCGTATCAGACCTGCACTCCAAAATCTTAGACATAAAATATTTATATATATATATATATAGAGAGAGATATTTGGGGTTTTTTGTTGTTGTTTTTTTAGAAGGAAAAACCCTATCACTCCTCGAAGAAATCAGGATAATCTATTTTTTCTTTCATTTATAGTTTTAGACTAAAATCACCTCTTTTTGGTCAAACCTTAAAATAACGTGTCTAATGTTGATTAGCTGTGGCAGCCATTTAAAACTGGATTTATTCCAGAAGTTAATCAGCTGTACATCCAGTGATTAATAAAGTTTAAATGTGTCCGGTGGTTCAGGATGTTTTGGTATGAAACAGACAAACACTCAGTGGGAGAGTTTTCCCGCTCCATGTGTAAGCCCTACTCGTGTGTCGTCTCGTCGTTCAGCCATCTTTGGATCGTTAAAGAAACTAGAGAAATAGTTTTTTCTGTAACAATGTTTCCTGAGTGCTGAATGATTCGGCTGAAAAAGCCTAAACTGGGTTTTTAAATATAAAAGTAGCACTACAATAGCAAAAAGCTAAATGTATCAAAATAATAGTTTCAGTTTATTTATATAGCACCAAGCGGCCATCTGCTTTGACCAGCTGGGTTTGAGAGGAACAGATACACAATGGCAGGTCAAGAATCACATGTGAAGATAGAAATAATATCAAATGAAAATTATTCAATTTTAACAATTTTTTTTTTTTAATGAGGTCTTTGTGTCCTCCAGTGGTCTAAGCATAACAAGCCAACCCTAACTATAGGATTTATCAATAAGGAAAGTCTTAAAACTGGACAATGTGTCAGCCTCACAGACAGAAACTGGAAGTTGGTTCCACAAGAGAGGAGCCTGAGAACTGAAAGATCTTCCTCCCATTCTGCTTCTGGAAACTCTAGGAACCACAAATAAACCTACAGTCTGAGAGCAAAGTGCTCTCTTGAGAAAATGTGGAACAGTAAGATCTCAAATATAAGATGGAGCTAGGTTGTTGAGAGCTTTGTAGGTTAGAAGTAAGATTTTGAATTTAATTCTGGATTCGACAGGGAGCCAATGGAGAGAAGCTCAAACTGGAGAGAGCTAAGTTTATTAAAAGCTGGAAGTAGCAAAACCAGTTAAAAAACTGAAAGGATCTTTGTGTATTCTTATGGGAAACATACAATTTTTAAAGGTTAGAAAAAAACAAACATTGTGGCTGAATGTTTTCTGAGTGGCTAAAAACAAAGCAAAGTATGCAGAAGAAGGTAGATTACATATAAATACCTACAGAGGAAACGTGCTGAATCAGCACAATCCTCTAATTGGCACAAAGACAAAATGACACAAGTTCTTTGGATTTTCTTCATTGTTTTATTCTTCCGGATATACATCTTAAATAATCACCTTTGATCAGAACAGGAACAACGATCGATGTACAAAAATATAAAGAGAATTATGAAGTGCCTCGATGTCTCATATACAACAGAAAATATCTTACAGCAACAAAATCAAGTGTTAGAAGACACGACAGAAAACCAGCAAAGGTACAAAGACTTGAACTCCGTCAACTTTCATCTCATCGTCTGACTTTACACGAGCCGTCGACACAAAACCAACATCCTTATCCTGTCAATAATTTCCTAAGAGCCCACTTCCTGTTTCCTCCTCATCGTCAGCCTTGATGCTGCACCGTCTCTGCTCCACACGACAAAATACAACGAGAGCGCTAAAAGAAAAGGAAAACATCCACACGTCCCAAAAACACATCTGAGGTAAAGTCTGATGTCTCAACATGGCCTCTTCGGCTATCTACATGGATTTTCTGCTTCTATAAGACAAAGATGTGAAGCTCAGGAAAAGAAGGAATTCCTCAAAAAGGAAATTTCCTGTGGTTTCATGGCTTCACTTCGTACATATTTAGGATTACTGAGGGATTCGATCCCCGGGGGATCAGAAACAGATCAAATCTGAACTGTTGGGGCTGAACATTAATCTGATTGTTTTAGACTTTAATGTCAGATTAACGTCGCTGCTGTTTCTCAAACCTCTTTGTTAACTTTACGAGCTGTTTTAACTCGTAAGAGGCTTGTTCCAGTCGGCTGAAAACCGTTCTTCCTGTGGATTCGAGCAGAGATCAGGCTGCAGTTATTTCACGTTTATTCACAGACCTCCGTCCCTTTTGTCCTTGTGTGTTCAACTCCAGCAGCAGGTTTAAAATGAATTCTGCCCTGATTTTAATGGCAACAAGATCTGCAACCTTCACCATCAGAAGAGCCCTGATCAAACAAAACGCTACAGTAATAAAAACCTTTATCTTCTTCACCTTCTCTGGTCAGTTTTACTGAATGTTAACCTTTTTTTTTTTTAGTTTTTGTGATAATAAAGATTCAAAATATTTAGATGACTTTTGAAAACTACGTTCAATGTTTTCCTCCAAGTCATTTTCCTTAATTTTATAATAGCATCAATCTGTTATTCATCTGTTCATTCATAAAACTGGACAAGAAATCAGCTTCAGCTGTTTCTGTGTGGTTCTAAATGTTTATTTTTTATTTCCATGATAGTTTGTGTCACAGCTACAAAGAGCCACATGTGGCCCCAGAGCCACACGCTGCAGACCCCTACAGTCCTGCTGGACATTTATTTCTTTAATAAAAATAAAAAAACAGTTCATTAATCTAAACATTGTTTCTGTGTTTCGCAGCACAACTTCCCAGCACTTCTAAGAAATGATAAAGGAACCTGTTTACCAAAAAATTAATAATTTAAAAAGCCCTAAATTCTAAAAGTTTTATTGTTTTTCTTGTTTTTTTTTCCCCCAGGCTCCTTTAATTATGACCATCTGCAGGTGAAACCACCTGACTCCAGGTGTGGAGCCAGGAGGAGGAAATAAACTTGAAATGATCGTTTTGGTCCATTTTCTCTGAGGCCGCCCGGAGTTTCTCCACTGCTGAGTCAAATCCACAGAGACAGCTGTGATTTGTAGAATTAAAAACAAAATAAAATAAAAAACAAGTGCAATAAAGGCTATGTTCAGGTGGCTTGGACACAAGTCGTCGTATTAACGCAGAGTCCTCTCAGGTTCCTGTCCAGAGGATCCACATCTGTCAGTTCTTGTGATGAAGACATTAAACTCCTCTCCGTCAGCTCGAACGTCAGTTTAACTGCTATTTTTTTTTCTTTTGGACGTTTCAACGTCCTCCAGTCTCTGGAGAAGTGTTTTATTTTGAAGTTGAAGTAAAAGAAACCTCTTTGCTGGTCCGGACCCTACAGGTCCTCCGTGTAGATGATGCAGGGACTCGTGTCCTCGCTGGACTCCAGCTGCACCGTGGAGATGAACCAGCGGCGGGAGCCCGCGGCGTTGTAGTTGAGCGTGGTGCGGTAAGTGTTCTTGGCGTGTTTGGGGTAGATGATGGTGGTGCTCTGGTATCTGACGGGCTTTTGCCGGGGCTCCAGGTACACCTGCGTCTTGTAGCTCCTCCAGGTGCAGTTCTGCACCAGCACCACCGTCTCGCTGAAGGAGGTGGGCGTGGGGACGGGGGCGCACAGCACTCGGTCTCTGTAGTGCTTGTCGGAGTCGTACTTCACCTCGGAGGAGCACCTGGGGGAAACAAGAAGCTCGTCAGAACCCGGTGAGAACCTCAGTGCAGGTCTCCTTATCAGCTGTGACTTCAGTCATCGAAAAGAGCTGAAGTCTTCGTCCAGGCTAAGCTAAAAGCTAACCTTATATGCCTGAAAAGTGATACAAGATGGGTCCTTGTTTGGCTAGCTGTTAGCCTAGCCTGGACAAATGTGTCTCCATGCTCCACGACTGATGAGGTTCTAACTACTTGACAGAACCTCACTCCATAAATGACCGGACCATCCCTTTAATGTGCTCTTACTTGATTTCCCGCTCTGGTTTGGGGTTGACTTCGATGCTCTCTCCGAAGAACACGGGGTGCATTCGGGTCTTGGGGTCTGTTCCTGCGCAGTTCAGCAGCAGGTAGGGCAGCTGTGAGGAGGCAAGCACAAGAGAGCGGATCAGAACCTGCCGGGCTGCGTTCAACAAAAACGAGTTGTCAAAAATCAAAGATGGCAGCTTTGTTCAGGAGTTTCAACAGAGCCAGATCCCCGTCTGAAAACCACAGCAGTCCTCAGGCTCTGCAGGCACCCCCTCCCTGACGAGAGCTGGTCCTGATGGTTCAGCTGCGTGACACGACGACCACAGTCTGCTTTAATCCAGACACTTATACACAGTCAGATTAGCTAAATCTATTCCTCACAAGATTCCTGAGCCAAACGTCGGCTGTGTGTTTCTAAAACAGACATACGTGTTTACGTGTTTACATGTTTACAGTCAGCCTAATACTCAGATTACTTCAGCATGCTTCGCTGTTTGTCCTTGACTGTCTGTTAGCAAAATATCTCATCAACCACAATACGGATTTTGTTAAATCTCTCTGAAAATAATCTTCAGGTGTGTATCTAGAGCTCTTTATCTTTTACACTCAACTGATTCAGGTTTTAGCGCCACAGCTAATTCAGTTTAACAAACACAAAAATGGCTCTACCGCTGCTGTATTAACAGATACTGAGCTATATTTTGGTGAGGTAGTAGCTGAGTGTAATCCTCATCACATATTCTGAGCACTAACATGTCACATGAAATCTTTGCTTCAAACTTTGTCGTGCATGCCAGAGAGTTCAACTAAGATCATCTTTTTGAGTTGGAACCAGTTTGAAAACAGCGTTCTTATATGTCTGGTGTGATGGAGACGACTCTCAGCTACTACCACGACGAACTTTAGCTCAATATCTGTAAAACTGACTGAGCAACCGTTAACAAAAAGTAGTACATTTGAAGTTCATTTTTGCAAGTATACTTTAAGTTAAGTATAAGTATATCAAGTATACTACACACCATACTTGTAGTGTACTAAAAGTATACTGAATTAATACTTGTTTGGACTAAATTGGGACGTTTTTATACTATTTTTAAGTATATCAAATAAAGTTTATAAAAAGTAAAGTTCCTCATTTTTAGTGTAAAATAAGTATACTTGTAGTACACTTAAATAAACTACTTTGTGCTAAGGGAACGTTTCTGACTGCTGAGGTAGATCAGCTGTGGCGGCCATCTTGAAATGGGCTGACTTCAAAAGTTAATCAGACGAGTTTCCTCTAGTGGTTTATGAGACATTTCGCTAACAGACAAACACACACACATGCATACACAGGCAAAGCGTTATCGCCCGCTGCTGAAGGCAGCTGTAAAGAGTCCCATCAGATGTTTTATAGATTTCCATAAAGCTGCGTTGAAAAGGAACACGTTCTGTCTTTATAATATTTAAAACCTGATCGGTGGTGTTTAATCTGCTGAGGTTGCTCTCGCTTTAAATCTATTTTTAAAAGTGTAACAAGTCTCCACTCAGACGTCCTCCTTGTCCCAGACTTGGCTGGTGTCCTCTGGTCCCTCCAGCTCTGACTGAGCACTTTCTGTCCCGGGTGTGAACCCAGCGGCACCTCGACCTCTCACCTCACACACAGGAGGCCGTCACATGCTGCCGTCTGGCAGCAACGATCTGGGCTCGTCTTACCCCCAGCCCACCATCACCCCAGCACACTTTCTGAACCGTGGCGCCAAACTCGCACAGCTGCTGTGTTTTTTTGTGTTTTTTTTTAAACCACATATCTGCAGGCCTCTGCAGTGTGAACGTGCTGAACAAGCCGCTCCAGCAACCAGTGCGTTCCAGGTATGTCTGCAGATAAAGGACAGCAACGTTTCCTTCCAGAAACCAAACGGGAAACACATTTCTGCTCAGAAGAAACCGTCTGCGGCTGATCAAACCACACCAAGTAGAAGGAACAATGCAAACGCCAAGACAAACAGACTTCCAGCTGCTGGCTGCTCACTGTGGCGGGGCCTCGGACTTCTTACATCCTGTGTTTACATGCAAGTTGATGGGAATGCGTCCTTATCACACCATGAGGCTGCTTTACAAACGTCCCACCTCTCTGTCTACGCATCAACAGCTAAAGGCCTGGCACGCCCTGTAGCAGAGGTGGACAACACTTTTTTCCAAAGGGCCACATCCAGACGTTTGAAGCGATCAAAGGGCCGCATAGAGAATTGAAAAATACATTTGCTTCATGACAGATCAACCTTTTTCAGCCTTTTTCTTGTTGTAGCATACTGAGCATGCTTTATAAAAACGTGTCTTTCCTAAATCCTTTAGGAATATAAGATATATTGTAAACTGGCTCTTGTGACATTATATTACACACGTTAGCGTAGACCTGTCACGATAAACAATAAATCAATTCATCGCACGATAAATGAAAATGATTAACCTCATTTTCATTTATCAGCTTTATCGTCTCTCTCTTTCTACTGAAGACACTGGATGACAAAAAGCTCAACTCTGGTGCTCTTCACTGACCCCTCCCTTTCTCTTTTATCTTTAACCTCCTGAGACCCTGCGTCCACATGTGGGGACATTGCAGTTTGGCTTTGCTGTACCTTATACTTCAAGTTCTGTTCAATAGTGTTTTATACTTTGTTAAGCCATGTTCATGTTGTTGTGTTATGCTGTAAAATAAGCCTATTGTCCCCATCGGAGAACTTTTTTTATTTTTACAAAAGTATGTCATAACCATGTGGCAAAATACAACTTCCTGTTTGAAGAGGAAACTTTATTTATACACAAATTAGGTCCATCTAATCAAAAATATCTAGGAGATATGAAAAATGCATCGCAAACAAGAGCTCAGGTCTCAGGAGGTTAAAATCCGTTTTAACCGTCCAAAATCACGTTTGTGGATCGTTAAAAGCAGCTGAGAAGCTAAGCTACGAGCTAAGCTAACAGGCTGACCTAGATTAAAAACCTCCGTCTTGTCAAAGCTCCAAAATTCACAGTTGAAACTCGTGCCTTCGTCTAAAAAGTTGTTTTTCTCTTCAAAAAGAAGCTGAGAACTTGTTTACTGATTTTTTATTAAAAGCTTTGTGTGACAAATGCTATGCTAAAGAGCTCAAACTACACAGAGTGTCCGCCATTTTGAGAACTGAAAAACGGTAACAAGAAACAGCCCATGTCCTGTCAAGGGTCCTCCCTCCCTTTTTTCTTAAAGAGACACGCTGCTCGCTCCCTCACCATTCATCCTTTAGTTCAAACAGTCTTATACTGTCATCCAGTGAAAAAAAAAACGGTATTACACACAAAATTAACCAACATTTCTTCTTAAATTTGACAATAATTACTAATTATGTAAAATTTCAAACAAAATTATCGTTTATCGCAATAATTTCTGAAACAATTAATCGCCTAGCAAAATTTGTGATCGTTGCAGGCCTACGTTAGCATAACATGTTATACATGTTAGTGGAAAC